GTATGACCGGTACGAAACGGTATTTACTTTTTTGATTAGATATCTATAATCAAATCAAGCGGTTAGCTCAATTTGAAAAAAGAATTGTGATTAAGACTCAAGAATATTTTTTACCTGAATTAAGATAAAAAAATCCAAAAGATTAAAAGAATACAACCATGAAATTTTATTTAATCTCAATTAGATTTCTTTCTTTAAATTGAGTTAATTACTCGATTTGATTGTAAATATTTAATACTATTTTCGAGTATATAGCAAAGTTATCAATTAATTATTTTTAATTTATTAATTTTTTTATTTTTAAACTATTGAAACTAATCAAATTGATATATTTTTAATATTTGAGAACTGATTTTGTAAATATTTTGTTTTCACTTTAATTAAAAGTTAATGAATTCTATTAATTTAGGGATTAAAATTTTCAAATCTTTAAGTTTAAGGACTAAAAGTTTCATGGTATAAGATAAATGATTAATAACTTCAAACTTATCAAAGTGAGTAGCTAAATGCATACTTTAAGTAAATTAATATCTAACTACACTTGTAGTTATATTTTTATGGTTTAAATTTCATAAGTATTGCTATCCTATACGTACATTTAAAAATTATAAGTAAAAAAAAAAAAACACCTACACTTATGAATCATAACTAAAGATCAATGGCAACAACGAAATAGCTTTATGGTAAAGTCACACACGTTTATTGCTTAATTTTGCTCCTTCCCTATTTTAAGGAAGGTTAAACCTCCAATTTGGTCCTTCAACTATTGTACAGTCTTTAATTTGGTCTCTAAACTAAAAAAATCTTTGATTTGATCTTTATTATTTACCAATTTGGTCCCAAATTGGCTTTTCCATTAAAAAACAACTGATATGTCTGCTATTTAACAACAGAAAACTGTTACTTAACAGCCATATGTCATGTTAATAATAAGATACGTCATCTGCTCTTGTACGAAATGACCAACTTGGGACCAATTTTGAACCAAATTGGTAAACAGTATGGACTAAATTAAGGATTTTTTTAGTTCAAGGACTAAATCAAGAGTCTGTACAATAGTTGAGGGACCAAATTGAGAGTTTAACCTTTTAGCAAATGTCTACTGTTACAAAGGGGAGGGGGGAAATTAAGTAGTCCATGGCATCGGAAGTGGAATTCTTTAGGGGTAACCACCCGTGTACAGCATCTGGCCATCGTTAGTTGTTTCCAAGCCTTCAACCGTGGGGGTTGATACATAAACTTATAGACCAACCAAGTCAAATGACCAGGCAAAGAAGAAAATTTAGGGATCTGAGATTGCTTTCTTATATAGGCACACTACTAACTCATTCCATAAGCAAAAAATCAAAGAGAGTTTTTTTCAAAACGGCCTACACTTAAACCATTTGTTGATGCAAAGAACTTCAAAGTGCTCCCAAGCTCGGATCTTCACTTCAGCAAGCTTGCAAAGCCCCGAGGTTGGTCCTCGAGGTTGGTCCTCGAGGTAGACACTTTGATGTCTAAATTAGCAATAATTAGAGTTACCAGATATGGAGTAAGAGCTAAGCTTGAGATCGGTTTTGATTATCTTTTAGAGAGGACTCTTGGGGGATATTTATAGCCTTCAAGGGGGTGTCCACGTGTTCATCTTTGTGGAAAACTGAGCTCATGTGTGTAAATCATTGCAGAAATCTCTCATAAGAAATCTGTATGCATACGGAGCTACTATTGAGCGAGGGCAGAGGGTAACGAGCTCAAACTCAACTAAGTTTATCACGCTTCAAGCACCGTGACCAAGGTTGGGAACAACTTAGATCGTCCGAGGTGCGTGACCTCAGACTACCATCACAACACTATTCCTACCAAAGCACGTGACCTCGATCTACCACCACTACACCATCACTTTAAAGTGGAAAGATAGAACAATCATTAATTAGTTATCTTTTATGCATCCCTCACTCATTAAAGTTATTTTTGTCCTTTTAACTATGCTTTTATTTGCATAATGAACAACCAGTGAAAATCCAAGAAAGGGTTTTTTCAAAGCGGCCTGCATTTAAAACATCACTTCAAAATGGAAAGATAGAACAATCATTAATTAGTTATTTTTTATGCATCCCTCACTCATTAAAGTTATTTTTGTCTTTTCTAACTATGCTTTTATTTGCATAATGAACCACAAATGAAAAAAAATCAAAGAAAGGGTTTTTGCAAAGCGGCCTGCACTTAAAACATCATTTCAAAGTGGAAAGATAGAACAATTATTAACTAGTTAATTTTTATGCATCCTTCACTCGTTCAAGTTATTTTTGCCTTTTCTAACTATGCTTTATTTTTGTCTTTTCTAACGTGCTTTTATTTGCATAATGAATGTAAAAGATATGTTTGAAAAACAAATGACAAGCATTTGGCCCTATGGGTCGATTGGCTAATAGCTAGTTTTAAATGTGCACTTTTATCAGTATGATACTGGTTTAAATTCTTACATCTCTTGAAATTTGTACTAGTTAAAAAAAATGACAAACTTAAGTAGGAGTATAATAGGTGAACAATTTAAGTAATTCAATGTTAATTTTCCTTATTAAAAGTAAGAGATTCTAAGTTTTTGTTAAAAGTAAAAAAATTTAAATTCAAACTGCATGATATCTAAATGCAGTAATTTAAATAATATAAAAAAGTTACCACTAATTATACAACCTAAAATTAGAAAAAAAAAAAGTATAATGGGTGAAAACGCTTTCTTTTTTATTTATTGGATAAGACTACAAAATTAACCATCAATTTTAGGAGAAGAAGGCCTCAAATTAAGCGATTTTCTCATATCAATAGTTATAGTTTTGTAGTTCACATCAAATTGGATTTCACGACACTTTTTTGGGAATAGATCTTGCAGTGTAACTATCTTCTATCTTTGCTAGGTTGAGGTCCTTGAGGAATAACTATAGAGGATATTTTGTGGAGCTAGTTTAAAAAGTATCAATTTGCTTTAAAAAAATTTTTTTTTTGCACAAATTTAAAATTTTGTTTAAAAAAATTCAAAAATTCTTCTAACATATTTGTATTTAACAAAAGTTTTTTTGTTTCCATCAAAAGAGATTTTTTTTAGTTGATATTCACTAATTTGAAGGTTTTAATTTAGGAACAAAAATAAATACACTCTGTAATATTGTCAAGCAACTAATTTTTAATATATACAAAAAATATATATATAATCGATCAAAGAATCCAACACTCTATTTTATTTCACTCAAACCAAACATTCGTTAAGTATTTTTATTCCTTTCTAACTTGCGCATTGCAGAAGGACCCCAGTCGATTGCACAAATCTCGTTTTATGTTCAGCCTTCTAGTTTTCTCAGCAAGTTGCTGCCTAACAAATAAACTAATTGGCGGTCTATTTTTTAACTGGAATTAAGTTTTACAGAATTCAGCATGATACACAACCATACCCCAGAACATGGGTATAGGGGCCAATACAAAAGGTCACGAACAGAAGCAAAAATCAAGAGTGGTTCCATCGCGTGAGCTCCAATGTTTGGTTGTCTTTAAATCTTAGGATAGATGTTTAGAAGTGGTTCCATTGCGTGAGCTCCACGTTTGGCAGTCTTTGAATCTTAGAATGGGTGTGTGCAAACCTTTCTACTTTAGAGTTTGTCTTTTAATGCCTTAAAAATATTAATTAATTTTAAAAAAAAATTAAAGAACTAATTGACAAGTTTACGAAAAGCATCTGCTAGTTGCAAGTTTAGTCCCTATTTGAGTTGGCAGTTTTGGTCCAGCTCTCAGAGTGTTTTTTTTTTTATATATTTATAAAATGATTAAATTAAATGTTAGTATCTACTATTGTTAGAGAAAGTCAAACCTTAGAGTTGATGCATTCTACTTGTTTTTTAATGCACAACGTGACTATCACTAAGTCACATGGGAGATTGGTTCAGCTCTCAGGGTTGTTTACCAAAGATGGAAACAATTCAAGCAGAGATTAACATAATAAAAGCAGGAATAAAATAATCATAATGATATGAGTTAAGCTTGAGTTGTACGTAAACAATTGGATTTTTTTTTATTAAGACAAGTGATTCAAGGAAAAAAATAAAAAAAAAAAATCAAATTCTTATCAAAATAAAATCGAACTTTTATCATAAAAAAAAAAATTTACATTAAATTACCGAATCACTAAGTGAAAAAGCTTCCTTCAAACAATTGGGTTTTTAAAACAGAAAAAGGAATGTAAAGTCAGGAACACAAAAGTGATGGTACTCGGTCCTCCATCAACGGTTGCAACTAGTATCTGAGAAGATCTATGCCTCTATTAATGATTATAAAGAATGTAGTATCAGGGTCAACCCCCCAATAATAAAAAATAATGCAATTTGTGCATTACGAACTGCAAATTAGCACACCCTTTTTAAAATCCCCAGAAAACTGCTGGGTTTTATCGTTGCTAAAGCCCCACGTCAGATCCTTGAATTGATTTTATATTTTTAATAGAGTTTTTGAATTTTTTTAAAGTAAAGTAGCTGTTAAACCTCAAAATGTGCGTAATTTTGTCCTCTTTTAGACGACAGAAAGAATAACCTTTTTTTGTTTTTTCTTCTTTTTTTCCCAACAAAACAAACAAACTTCATTCGTTTCAAAAAACAAACATACTTCATTAAGTCCTTAAAGATTGTATTACAAGAACAGATAGAAGGAAAGCACCAAGAACGAAATATAAAACATACACCCAAAGACACAAACAAAAATCACAATGCTTGAAGACATACCAACAGAAAGTAGCCCCCCATGACGAGTCACACAGGGAAGAATAGATCTAGAAATCATGTGTAGCTCATCCTTGCTAGAAAACAGCTCTTCAATGGCTTGAACTTAGTTCCTCTCATCAGGAAAAGGAAACCATTATATATAAC